CAGCATTTGTTGCCTATGCCTAATTGTGCAGAGGGCAGTTAAGAGTCAACCACATTGCTGTGGGTCTGGAGTCACATGTAGGCCAGACTGGGTAAGTATGGCAGTTTCCTTCCCTAAAGGACATTAGTGAACTAGATGGGTTTTTCCTGACAATCAACAATAGATTCATGGTCATCATTAGATTCTTAATTCTGGATATTTATTGAATTCAAATTCCACCATCTGCTGTGGCAGGATTTGAACCTGGGTTCCCAGTACATTACCTGGGTCTCTGGATTAACAGTCCAGTGATAACACCACTAGGCCAAAGCCTCCCCCCAGTTAGAAAACAGGAAATAAAATGGAGAAAATTAGAATTGAAGCATAAAGAAAATGAGGAGAGAACATGAATATAAACTAAAAATGACACAGTTGAAATAGAAGATGTCAGATGCCTTTGAAGACTCTACTGGGGAGAATCTGTGTAATAATTTGAAGTGCAGTAAGAAATATTTAAATTTGCACAGGTCGTACTGAAACTTGAGGAAAAAGATGTGGAGGCATTTATCATGTCATTTGAGAAAATTGCTAGACAAATGAATTGAGAAAAAGTGGATTGGACATTGCTCATGCAGGGTAGGTTGACGGATAAAGCATAGGAATATATGCTTCACTATCAGAGGAGGTTTCTTGGGTTTATGAATCAGTGAAGAAAACTATATTGGCTGCATTTCAGTTAGTGCCTGAGGCATATGGGTAAAGGTTCCGGAATTTAAGGAAAGAGCCTGGACAAAACTATGTTAAACTCGAAAGGGTTAAGCAAAGTAATTTTGACAAATGGATTAGAGCATTAGAAGGTGAAAATGTTTATGAAGCTCTCAGAGAGGTTATCATCTTACTAAAATTTAAAAACTCACTATCTTTTGTAATAAGAACACATGCTGAGGACCAAAGGTTTGTAACTAGTGGTAAGACCATAAGACCATAAGACATAGGAGCAGAAATTAGGCCATTCGGCCCATCAAGTCTGCTCCGCCATTCAATCATGGCTGATAAGTTCCTCAACCCCATTTTCCCGCTTTCTCCTCGTAACCCTTGATCCCCTTGATAATCAAGAACCTATCTATCTCAGTCTTAAATGTACTTAATGATCTGGCCTCCACAGCCTTCTGTGGCAAAGAATTCCATAGATTCACCACTCTCTGGCTGAAGAAGTTCTCCTTATCTTTGTTCTAAAAGGTCTTCCCTTTACTCTAAGGCTGTGCCTTTGGGTCCTAGTCTCTTCTACCAATGGAAGCATCTTCCCAACATCCACTCTGTCCAGGCCATTCAGTATTCTGTAAGTTTCAATTAGATCCCCCTCATCCTTCTAAACTCCAATGCGTATAGTCCCAGAGTCCTCAAACGTTCCTCATAAGTTAAGCCTCTCATTCCTGGGACCATTCTCGTGAACCTCCTCTGAACCTGCTCCAGGGCCAGTACATCCTTCCTGAGATATGGTCTGGTCTGAGGATCATAATGGTTGATGATTATGAGTTAATCCATAGGCCTAAACATTTTTTCCATGATCCTCATAAATTCAAAAAGAACAATAAATGGAAAAGTGAAAGGAAGGCAAGTAGCCAAGGTAAAGAATGGATACTGGGAATGCCTGAATCTTCCTTAGATCAGCATGCAAATTACTGAGGGTGGAGGTGAAAATCGGGAGGCAAGGTGTTCCATTTTAACAAGGTGGGACACATTTGTTTGGAATGCTGGAAGTTGAAAGGCAAACTATAGGAGCTTTTGGAGTTTGTAAAAATGAATCTGAAAAGAAAACTCACAAGGAAAAGGCCACAGATCAGATTATAGCTTTAAGACTGTAAGACTATAAGATGTAGGAACAGAAGTAGGTCATTCAGACTGTGGAGTCTGTTCCACTATTCAATGATATCATGGCTGATCTGATAACCCTGAAGTCTAAATTCTTTACTTTTCCCCATAACCCTTGATTCCATTAAGGATTAAAAATATGCCCGAGCCTTGAATATACTCAATGCCTCAGCCTTGACAGGTCTCAAAGAATCCATATATTCAATAAGGTTGCCTCTCATTTGTCTAAATTTCAAAGAGTACAGGCCCAACCTATTCAACCTTACCTCATAAGGCAATCTCTCAAAACCTGGTATCAGCTGAATGACCCATCTCTGACTGCATCCAATGCCAGTATGCCTTTCCTTAGTTAAGGAGTCCAAAATTGGTCACAGTATTCCAGCTCTAGTTGACTAGTGCCTTATTTAGATTTAGCAAAACCTCCCAACTTTTATTCTCCATTCCCGTTGAAGCAAAGACCAATATTCAATTTGCTTTTCCTATTACCTGTTGAACTTGGAAGCTAGCTTTTTGTGATTCATTGACGATGACTCACAAATCCCTCTCCAGCTTTCTGCAGTTTCTCTATTTAAAAACAGTTAGCTCCCCTTCTTCCTGTCAAAGTGCATAACCTCACATTTTCCTACATTATATTCCATCTGCCGAGTATTTGCTCACTTGCTTAGCCTGGCTGTATCCCTCTGTAGACTCGTTGTGTCATCCTCAACACTTACCTTCCCACATATTTTTGTCATTTGCAAACTTGGCTATCATACATTCACTTTTCTTATCAAACTTATTGATAAAAGTGTAACTAATTATGGACCCACCACTCACTCCTGTGACAGGTTGCCATCCTGAAAACGTACCCCTTATTCCAACTCTCTGTCTTCTTTTAGTTAGACAATTCTCTATCCATGCTAATATATTACCTCCAACACCATGGGGTTTAATGTGTAGTATACCCTGTACACAAAGAGCAGGTCAAATCCAACCCAGCCAATTACACTCCATCAGTTGACTCTTGATCATCAGTAAGTGATGGAAAGTGTCATCATCAGCATGACCAAGCAACACCTGCTTAGCAATAATCTGCTCACTGACATCCAGTTTGGGTTCTGCCAGGGCCACTCAGCTCCTGATCTCATTACAATTTTAGCTCAAAAATGGATAAAAGAACTGAATTCCAGAGGTGAGGTGAGAGTGACTACCACTGACATCAAGGCTGCATTTGACTGGGTTTGGCATCGAAGAACTTGAGCAGGAAATGGGCAGTTAGATGGTAGATAAGTTCAATACAGAGAAATGTGAAGTGATTCATTTTGATCGGAAGAACATAGAGAGACAATATAAAAATAAAGAGCACAATTCTAAAAGTGAGTGCAGGAGCAGAAGGACTTGGGTGTAAATGTGTATTAGTCATTGAAGGTAGCAAGGTAGTTGCAAGAACAGATAATAAAGCAAACAGTGACTTAGGCATTATTAATAGGGCACAGAGAACAAGTAGGGGATTATACTGAATTTATATAGGACACAAACCAGAGACAGTGCGTTACGTCCAGTTCTGGGTGCTGCACTTTAAGAAGGATGTGGAAGCATTGGAGAGAGTTCAGAAAAGATTCACAAGATTGTTTCTACAGATGAAGAACTTCAGCTATGAGGACAGATTGGAGCTGTTAGGACTGTTTCCATGGAGGAAAGCAGGCTGAAGAGATCTATTTAAGGTATACAAAATCATGAGAAGGGCTGGACAGAACAGATAGATAGGGACATTCTATTCCCACTTGTGAACAGATCAATAATAAGAAGGCACAGATTTAAAGAAATTAGAAAAAGAACTCAATAATACATAAGAAAAATAATTTTCACACCACTAGTGGCTAAGTGAGTGTGTTGTGCAGGTAGGTTCAATTGAAGCATTCAAGAGAATTAGACACTTATTTGATGTAGAGGGCTAGAGGAAGAAAGTGAGAAAATGGTAATATGTAAATTGCTCATCTAGAAAGTTGGTGTAGACACAACAAGCTAAATGACATTCTGCACTGTAACAATTCTGTGATCTGTGAAGGCCTTGTGGAAGAACAAATCTCTGTGGAGAAACACAATTAATTCGTCTGTCACTGTCAGCCACCAGCTCAGATTCTTGCATTACGCATACCTTAGCAAAGGCAGCACAGAGCTAAAATCTGCACTTGGTGAGACACCAGGCATAAGTGGGCTACAACCAAGCAATGGAAAAGGATAGTTTGTGTGACAGTTCACTGGAGGATAAAGTTGCCTATGGGTTCTATTGCAGAGGACTCAGCTGAGAACTGTAAAGCCATGTTTAACAAGATAATACTGACAGATATGCAAACCAAAATGCTCAGTGCACTGCAGGCCTGGCACAGAGCCTATTGTCACCATGAAGCACCATGGAAGAGTCCAGCTGCAACTTGGCACAGGGATTTGTACAGAGTTTAAAGTCTGTCCTTTCTAATTTAGAATTCATGACCAATTCCATACGACTATGTGTGGACCCAGATGTAATGCAACGTCTAATGTCCAATGTTTCAGTTTCTATTTCATTACAGGCAGAGGCCATCCAATAACTAAGTCCTGCAGGCTGAAGTCATGAAGTTGCTTCTTGTTAAAATGCAAGCATATTTTAGTGCCATAAAAGCTCAAACTGCAACCATCTTGGCTGTGGATACCAATGCTGAAAGGGGTTTGAAGAGTTCCACAGCTGATTAATAGGATTGTTGAAACACCACCCTGGAGGAGTGGAAATGACTTCATTGACTTCTCTCAGAATTGCAGCATTTGTACCTTTGCTGTTATCTGTTTGTTTCCAGTCACCCACACTACTGCCAGATATGCTAAAATCCAAAAGCATGCTCCCAAGGTCCAGACTGCATGAGGGTTTCCTGCAAGGTAACCTGCAGTCTCTTTCATTGAAAATCAGCAGCCGTCTACCAGCAAGGTTGTAGTCATTGAAGGGCAATGCTTTAGAGCACTGGACTTGATAGCGGCATGAAACGAAACAGCCAAAATTATGGTGCTACAATGCCAAATTTTGGGGTCTTATACTGTAAGGAATGGAAAAACCAGATTGGACATTAACAAGGTGAATTATAAAAACAACATATTTTTGTTTCGATATTGCAAGGTAACTATTTAGTAATACAAACCTCAAATCCAGCATTGATCTTTGCTACTTCATTAGCAAGCTGCTGTTTAAAACTATTACGAAGGACTTCAATTCTCTGCAAAAATTAAAACAAACTAGTTAATTGAATGAGTAATTGTGCAACACTACTTTCCTTCCTACTGAGCTCAGGTTGGGACGAATGGCAATGGAGAGATGATGGAAGTGTTAGGATGGTCTGATTCAGCTGCAGGAAGGGAGTGAGGCAGGTTTGGTAGTGGGTAGGGGGAGAGTGTAAGACTAGGCAGCAAAGAGATGCAGGGTTGGGCTGGGTCCTGTGGTGAGGGTGAGGCCAATTCCAGCTGCAGTGGCTGGGGTTGGGTGTTTGCATCAGTTCCAGTAGGGAGCCAGGGGGGTTACGGACAGTGTTGGGAAGGGAAAAGAAAACAAAAGTTGGCAGCATGGTGGCTCAGTGGTTAGCACTGCTGCCTCACAGCACCAAGGGCCAGGGTTCAATTCCAGACTTGGGCGACTGTCTGTGTGGAGTATGCACATTCTCCACATGTCTCTGTAGGTTTCCTCCAGGTTATCTGGTTTCCTATCATAGTCCAAAGATATGCAGATTAGATGGACTGGCCATGTTAAATTGCCCATAGTGTTCAGGGATGTGCAGGCTAGGTGGATTTGCCATGAGAAATGCAGGATTACAGGAATGGGGTGGGGAGGGATGATCTGGGTGGGATGCTCTTTGAAGGGTCAGTGTGGACTCAATGGCCTGCTTCCGTGCTGAAGTGTTCTATGGTACTGAATGCTAAATACAGAATCTGGTGTTTTTTTCTTCCATTCAAGTTTTATAAAAACAAAACAAAGTATCTTGGCTCAACATGTAGCCATAGACTTTTGACAAATGAAAAATAATCACCCCCTGTGCAAACAATGACTTCAGTGAGCCATTGCCAGGACGTGATCAACTCTACTGTCAAGTGTTCCTGTAGCATGAGGTGGCAATACTGTCAGAGGGGCAGGTTAACAATATCACTTTTTGTAGGTGCATATTAGAACCACCACTTAATTTGCAACAGTTAAGCAAATGGAATAAAGAGCTCTCTGTCCTGTTTTCCATTTTATCCTCATCCTTTAATCCTTTAAGAAACAAACGAACAGTGCCACTAAGCAAATACAACATCAATCTCAGTCACGGTGTCCTTCGAAATTGTGTCCTTCACAAAGAATTTCAGCTCCTCTTCTAGGATTTAGCCTGGTGCCTAGCCAACAGCAGTGCCCAACCAACCTGAGTTCCACAAGCACAGTCTTCATGAAAAATCCATAGGCCTGCAGGACCTCCTCAACACTGCCTATAAAGCCTGGCACAGTGTAGATCTACCAATAATATTTCCAAGTGACAGAAGCAGCTGTAGCAACTGTATGCTTGCCTATTCACAGCTTCTAGGTCTAGCATATGTTTGCTTCAACTTCTCCGGCATACATGACTGGAACCATCAAGATTCAGCTCTCATGGCACTGTTTTGCAAATGGTTTCAACCAGTTGTAATCTCAATTTCAGCCTAAGTTTCATTAGAAACTAAACGGCTCTATTTTCCTTTGATATTTCCCTTTACAATTATGGTCTGTTTCAAACAGTACAAGCTTGAAATCCCAGATTCAAATAAATCATAAATTAATCAATAAATTGATCCTTATCAAACTTGTGAATGGTCTGCAGAAATTAACCAAGCATCCTCAGACAGCATCTTCCAAGCCATGCACGTCCCATTTCAACCTGCAAGTCCCATTCCAACCACTAACCATCCAGTCTTGGAACATATTGCTGCTATTTCACTGTCACTGGGTCAAAATCCTGGGACTCCCTTCCTAACAGCTTTGTTCACCCATGTGAAACTGACAACAGTGCTTCAAGAAGACAGTTCACCACTACCTGCTCTGGGGCTGGGCAATGCTGGTCCAGCCAGCAATGCTGACATCTCATGAATGAATTCAGAAAATATATTTTATGCACAGAATGATGTAGGCATTAATAATAAATGGTCACTTACAAAACCATATCTGTTTTAGTGCAATAGTTAATCCATGCATCACTAACAGTTAAAATAAAGACTCGGCATGATTTGAGATGAAACCAACTATTTGCCCTGACTGTATAAATACATAATATACCAATATATTCATAACAACCTAACAAAAAAAATCAAATGTAAGTATTACCTGTAGATACGTATCTTGAAGATATGAACTGTAGTCATTAATTCTATTATATAGGTCTAAAGATTGCTGCTCCACTTTCTTTTCATAGTCCGCTTTTAGGAGCAATGTTTTGGATTCTAAACCTCTTTTAAGAATGGTAACTTCCTGAGTAAGACACAAAATATTAAAAATATTAGAATAATACTTTATCACATTAATTAAATTATTACAAAAAAAAGGCTTATGACAAATTTCACTTACAGAAGAACATCAGGTAGATGACCAAGCCTCAGGAAGAAACTGGAAAAAGGATTCATGAGAACGGCATGGAGCAAGTATGAGAAAAGATCAGCAACTCGTGTAAAAGGGTTCCCAAAATATACATAAGGTATAATTCAGAGATGAGGAGAAATTGCTTCTCTCAAATGGTTGTGAATATGTGAATTTCACTACCCCAGAGTGTGGTGGTTGTAGGAACATTGAGTAAATTTAAGAAGAACATAGGCAGATTTTTAATTATTAATGGATTGAAGGGTTATGGATAGCAGGCAGGAAAGTGGAGTTGAGGCCGAGATTAGGTCAGCCATGACTGTATTGAATGGTGGAGCAGGCTTGCGGGGCTGCATTGTCTACTCCTGTTCCTAGGTTTTTGTTTAATTCACTCACAGGATGTGGACATCTCTGGTTAGGCCCCTATTTATTGCCCATAATTGCTCAGAGGCCAGTTAAGTGTCAAACACATTGCAGTGGGTCTGGAGTCACATGTAGGCCAGACCAGATAAGGATGACAGATTTCCTTCCTTAAAGGACATTAGTCAACCAAATGGTTTTTTTTTTCAACAATCAAACCTGCTTAGACCTTTAATTCCAGATTCTTTATTGAATTCAAATTCCATTATCTACCATGGGATTTGAACGTGAGTCCCCAGAACATTAGCTGAGTTTCTGGATTAATAGTCTGGTGATAATATCACTAGGCCATTGCTTCTCTCCTAGTTCTCATGCTCTTATTTTATGTCCTAGCTAGACTGATCCTGACTTCATATCATTGCAACAGTAATGTGTTCGCTGACAGTACAACTGTTTCTTAAAATCTAATATACATTGCTGAGACTTAGGGAGACTCATGGCAGTATCTTTTAGGGGTCTGAGTGACATGGATTATGACGAGCTGCATGACAGAATCGAGCGACAAGTGTGGTGAGACCCAAATCAGCACTAAGATTATCTTGATTCATCTTTAATGCTTTCTGTCAGCAACTTGGCAAAATTACTGCTCAGCAGCAGCAAGATGCCATGTGCCCAGTATTTGATTGTTAAATGCCTTACCAACTCATTTCAACAATATTCAAATTCTTGCCAAACTTACTAAACAAGCTAGTCATTAAGTAACAAAAATAGAAATTGCTGGAAAAGCTTAGTAGGTCTGGCAGCATCGGTGAAGAAAAATCAGAGTTAACATTTCGGTTGAGTGAGGAAGGGTCATTCGACCCGAAATGTTAATTCTGATTTCTCTCCACAAATGCTGCCAGGCCTGCTGTGTTTCTCCAGCAATTTCTATTTCTGTCTCTGATTTACAGCATCCGCAGTTCTTTTGATTTTTGTTTATACATTGAGTAAACTCCACAACGAAACTAGAGTGAGCACCTGGCAGATAGAGCTTACTACTTGCTCTGAATGACCTCCATGTTGGAAACAGGCACCAACATCACCAGGCATGCTTCAGTGGTATGAGCCATGTGTAACCCCTATTCACAGACATTGGTATCTGACATATCCCAGCCTTTATGAACTTATCGCAGGATGCACTGGAAACCATCATTGTAAGGCTGCAGCAAGGACACTGAGCTCGTATACATACAGGGAGCTTATGGACTGGACCAGGCTGTATTACCGAGTTCTTCACTTGGTTTCATTGCCTACCTGGACACTCCAGCATTTTCAATGCCTTGTCTTTTTGTGCTTTGCTTCCCCCCCACTCCCTTATCCATCGACAACAGACTCATATTACTGTTGTCTTGCGTTGCTGCTTAGCATAGATACAAAGCCAGGAAATTAGTCACAGCTATCAACAGGCTCAATCAAGTCAAGGGGAACAGTGTTCACTCAGGGATTCCCAGCATAGTAAGTCAAGGGTAGTCCAGGCCTTGTTCAAGGGAGGGAAACGTGGTCACAGTCAGGATTCTCTCCTCAGAAGGGGTGAGGAGCCAAATGCTGCAAACATGTCATGATTTTTTTCTGCCCTATTGTGGCTTTTTTCCTCCAGGAATAAGAGAGTGACAGGAGATGAAAGTGGGTGGCACAACTATTACTTTAGTGCAGGTGTGGAAGTATTCCAAGCGACTGAGTAGGCAGCACAGAGAGCACGTGTTGGGTTAGAAGATGGTGGCACTTATCCTGGCAAAGTGGAGAAGGTCATTGACATTCTTCCTATAGTACTGGAATTCTTCCAGACAGCTAAGACTGCTTTAACCCAGATGTCAACCTCAGACCAGGCTACTATTCCATGTCAGCGTCACTCCATCCACCTAGACCACTATGATCCTTCCTGCAAAGTGGGGCACTAATTTCCCCATCTGTCATGACTTTTTTAATATAATATATCAGTACAGTAAAATGTATAGAGCAGAGAACCTAGGGTAATTTCTAAAGTAAATCAATATAATAGTGATTGCAGAATGGGTAATTCATTGTTGCTGCAGCATTTGGAATTGGCTGGTCACCAAGGTGATTCAAAATAAACACCTTTGTAGGAAGGGTTTGCAGCTCGAGGAACTTCAGATCCAAATTGAGGATCTGGAGGCCAAGTTGAAGACATTGTGACACATCAGGGAAGGGGAAGTTACTTAGGCTCTTTGATCCAAAGGGCGATCAAATTCCTCAGGTTAAATAATTCAAATTTGGTCTGTGACCAGGGACAGGAGTGTTTCACTGCAGAAGAAGGAGTTATTGGGACCCAGAGAGTTGCAATTGATGAGCCTCAACTCGACAGTTATGAGGTTCTTGCAAGCTATGCAAACAAGATTGAGGACAGAAGGGAGGACAAGCAAACTGACTACAGCACCATCTTTGCTGCTAACCTCTGTAAAAGCAGCCGTTCAAATGCGGGGAAGAAATTGTAATGTAGCAGTTGAACAGAAACAGCAAAATTAGGGAGGTAAATACTCATCACTGCAACTGTGAGCATGACTCCCAAAGGCTGTGTTGCCAGCCTGGCACCAAAGTTAAGTATGTCTCCTCGGTGGCGGGGGGAGGGCAGATCTTGGAGTGGGAGCAGAGAGAGCTAGTTGTTGTCATCCACCTTGATACTAACAATTTTGATAAACTAGAAAGGAAGTTCTGCTGGAAAAACTTGAACAGGCTAGAGTTAAATTAAGAGCGCAGCCTCCAAGGTAGAACTGAATTACTACTGCCTAAACTACAAGTAAACCGGCAAAGAAATTAGTCAAGGAGTTAAATGCATGTGAGTGGAATGATGTTCAGTTCATGGGGCACTAGTACCAGTATTGGACTAGACAGGAGTTGCTCCAGTGGGACAAACTTCAGTTTAACTGTGCCAAGACCAGTGACCTAGTAAATCCAATAATTAGGGCTGTAGATAGGGCTTTAAATTAATTAGATGGTGGAGGGTTTTGGAGAGGAAAAATATAGGCTTACAAACAAAAAGATATAGCAACATATAGGACAGCTATTTGAATAGCAATATGTAAAGTGGGGTTGGAAAGCACAGAATGCACAAATATAGAAAAACAGCAGTAAACAGGGTGATAAAGGGGAAAAGTAGTGAAAAAAAAAGTAATGGTGTTTTACATAGAGTATTCAGAACAAAATAAGTGAACTAAAGGCACAAATACAATTTAATGGGTGATACCTTATAGCCATTACGGAGACATGGTTACATAGAAACATTGAAAATAAGAGCAGCAGTGGGCCATTTGGCCCCTCAAGCCCACACCACCATTCAACATGATTATGCAATTTCAGTATCCCATTGCCCGTTTTCTCTCCATACCCTTGATCCCTTTAGCCACAAGGGCCACATCAGGTCCCTCTTGAATATATCTAATGAACTGGCCCCAACAACTTTCTGTGGTAGAGAATTCCACAGGTTCACAACTCTCTGAGTGAAGAAATTCTTCTTCAACTCAGTTCTGAATGGCTTACCCCTTATTCTTAGATTGTGACCCCTAGTTCTGGACTTCCTCAACATCGGGAACATTGGTCCCACATCTAGCCTGTCCAGTGCCATCAGGATTTTATATGTTTCTATGAGATCCCCCCTCATTCTTCTTAATTCCCATGAGTACAAGCCTAACTGATTCAGTCTTTTTTCATAAGTCAATCCTGCCATCTCGGGAATCAGACTGGTGGACTTTTGCTAGATTCCCTTGTAGCAAGAATATTCTTTCTCAGACTAGGAGACCAAAGGCCCAGTACAATTGCAGCAAGACATTCCCACTCCTATACTCAAATCCTCTCACTATGAAGGCCACCATGCCATTAGCTTTCCTCACTGCCTGCTGTACCTGCCTGCCAACCTTCAGCGCCTGTTCCACCAAGATACCCAGGTCTCGTTGCACTTCACCTTTTCCTAAACTGTCACCATTCAGATAATAATCTGCCTTCTTGTTTTAGCCACCAAAGTGAATAACCTCACATTTATCCACAAGAAGATCGAAACTGAAAACTAAATATTCATGGACAGGCATAAACGAAATGGTGGAGAAGCTTTGTTAGTATGGGATAGAATAAGTACAAGAACAAGAAATGGTCTTGGATTAGAAGATGTAGAATCCATATGGCTGGAGGTCAGAAATAACAAAGGGAAGAAGACGCAGGATTAGTCTACAGGCCGCCTACATTAGCTATTTGATGCAATAAGAGAATAAATCAGGATATAATGACATCATATAAAAAAGGAGAACACTAGTCATGAGCGACTTTAATCTTCTGATGGATTGGGAAAGAAAATTGGCAAAGGTAGGCACCAGTAAGATTTCATAGAGTGTGTTCAGAACAGTTTTCTAGAACAATATGTTCAGTATTCAAACAGATATCAGGCTTTTTGGATCCGGTGATGTGTAATGGGGCAAGTTTGATAAATGATCTTAAAGTAACAGATCCTTTAAAAATCAGTGACCATAATATGGTAGAATTTAACATTCTGTTTGCAAGGGAGAAACATGGGTCATAAATAAGTGTGCTAAACTTAAATAAATGAACAGGAATGAGAGCAGAGTGAGCTGGAGAGGACCGGGAAAAGGATGTTAGCAGCAAAGAAAGTTAAGGAATAATGTCAAACATTTAAGAAAATAGTTCTTGGTTCACAAGAAAACACATCCCAATGAGAAAGAAGGATTGTAGGAAGGGGATAAGCCAACCATGGTTAACCAGGGAAGTTTAGGATGGCATCAAATTGTAAGATATAAGATACAATGTGGCAAAGATTAGTGGTAAACCAGAGTATTGGGAATTCTTTAAAACCAAGAAAAAAATGGCTGAAATAAATAAAGATGGAATAAAATAAACTTTGCAGGTAAACTTGTAAGAAACATCGAGATGGACAACAAACTCTTCTTTAAATATATAAAAAGAAACAGACAGGCTAAAGTGAACATAGGCCCCTTACAGAATGAGAGTGGAAAAATAGTAATGGGATAACCATTGGCAGACCGAGTTAAATAAATATTTTGCAATAATCTTTATGGTAGAGGATAGTAATGGCATTCCAAAAAATGGAATTAAGGGGCTAAATGTGGAGAGGAAATAAACATAATAACTATCACTAGCGGAAAAGTACTAGGGAAACCAGTGAGGCCAAAAACTGGTAAGTCCCTGGACCTGATGAGATGCATTCTGCCATTTTAAAAGAAGTAGCTACACAAATGGTGGATGCACTGGTAGTGAACTTCTAAGAATTCTTAGACTCTGGAAAAATCTCAGAAGGTTGAAAAACTGCCCATTATTCACAAATGGAAGAAGACAAAAAAAAAAACTGCGAAGCCCCAACTACAGGTCAGTCAGCTTAACATATGTTATTAGGAAACTGTTAGAGTGTATTGTAAAGGATATAATAGCAGAGCATTTAGAAATATATAATGTATGTACATATGTAGATGGAATATAATGTTGTAAAGTATGAGGTTATTCATTTTGGCAAAAGGTATCAAGGAGCTGAATGTTATTTAAGTTGAGACAGGCTGCAGAAAGGTACGGCACAGAGGATTTGGGAGTCCATGTGCATAAATCATAAAAAGTGAGCATACAAGTTCAGCAGGTAATAAGGAAGACAAATAGAATGTTGGCCTTTATTTCAAAAGGAATAGAGTATAAAAATAGGGAAATCTTGTTAAAACTACACAATGCACTTGTTAGACTACATCTGGAATACTGTGATCAGTTTGGGCCCTTTATCTAAGGAAAGATATACTGGCATCAGAGTTAGTTCAGAGAAGATTCACTACAGCAGGCTATTCTAAATGTAGTATTGTGCAATAAGGAGACAATTAATATTTTGTTTTGGGAGATCTACATTGGGTTAAAGTGAAGTACTCCAATCCAAAACCAGCGTTCTAATCTAAACTTAAATGGCTACGATAGACTGGGTAACTTCACTAAAAGGCATCACAGTTTACAAGCAACAGTTCATATTTAAGTAATGAATGTATGCATTTCAGCAGCTATCAATTTCTTTCAGATGAAAGGAGACAACTTGGAAAGTGGCCAAACCATGGTTACCAAAAGAAATTACAAATAGTATTCAATCCAAAGGGGAGTCAAATTGCTAGAAAAAGTTGCAAACCTGATGATTGAAAAATGTTTAGAATTAGAACTAGATGTCAATCAAGAAGTTGATTAAGACAGGAAAAATAGAGTATGAGAGCAAACTTGCAAGGAACATAAAAGCAGACTGTAAGAGCTTCTATTAAACATGTAAACAAAAAGAATTATTGAAGACAAATATAAGCCCCTTACAGGAGAATTGATAACGAAGAACAAGAAAATTTACAGAATTTAAACAATTCCTTTTGCTTTGTCTTCACAGGAGCAGATACAAAAACTTCCCAGAAATGCTCAAAAAGCAAGGGTCTTTTGGGAAGGAGGAACTGAAGGAAATTAATATTAGTTTAAAAAAATAGTTCTGGAAATATTGATCAGATTGAAAGTTGTTAAATCTCAAAGGCAAATAGACAACAGAGAACGGACAATAAATACTCTCCAGGCCAGTAATACCCACATCCCATGAATAAATAAAAAAACGAATCCCCAGGCGTCTGATAATTTATACCACAGGGTCCTAAAGGAGGTCACCATGGAAACAGTGGATGCATTGGTGTCATCTTCCAAAATTTTGTAGATTCAAGAATGGTTTTAGCAGACTGGAGGGTAACAAATATAACCATATTGTTTGAAAAGGGAGGGAGAAAACTGGGGATCACACACCTGTAGACTAATCACAGTAGGGAGAATGCTGGAATCTATGTGAAAGAATGCAATAACAGGATACTTAAAACACCAATGGGATTACATAAAGTCAACATGGATTTAATAAAGAGAAATCATGTTTGACAAAAATACTAGAATTTTTGTATGTATCTTGTTGAAAAGATGAGGGAGAACTCAAGGATATGGCATATTTGGATTTTCAGAAAGCTTTTAAGTCCCACATAAGAGATTATTTTAAAAATCAAAGAACTTTGGACTGGTGGTAATCTACTGTCATGGTCTCAGGACCCGTGACAGGCCAATTTGTACTGAGATATGAGAAATTTCTGCACTGAGAGGGTGGTGACCCTATGGAATTCTCTGCCACAAAAGGCTGTGGAGATGAAATCACAGAATATATTTTTTCCTAAAGGATTTACCACAACAATACATTTCTGAAACTAAAGACGTCAAGGGTAATTGGGATAAATTGGGAATGTGGTGCTGAGATGGAGGAACAGCCATGATCATGATGAATGGCAGAGTGAGCTTGCTGGGCCAAGTAGCCTACCTCTGCTCCTATTTTCTATGTTTCTAAGTCATGCCAGCCTTCTTTAAAGATCGACAAAGTCTTTCTGACTCCATGGCAATCCAGCCCATGGTTTCAGAATAAGCAGTCAGTCATGCAGGACTGAAATAAGGTGAAATTACTTCACTCAAAAAGACTGTGCCTCTGGAATTCTCTACCCCAGAGAGCTGTGGATGCCCAATCAGTGAGTTTATGCAAGGTGGAAATCAAGAATTAAGACAAATGGAGATAGTACAAGTATAGAAATGTGCATTTGTATGGAACATTAATAAAATGCCGGAGGCACTTTACAAGCTGTAGTGATTGTAACAAGGTCAGCTAACTGGACCTTACAGAATATGAAATCCCGACTGGGGCTGTTAATCTGGTCCAATCAGGGGGACCTGACTGACATAAAAGGATGAATGTTAGGTATATTGGGGGCCCGAATGTCTGACTCAGTGAGAGGCAAGGCTATGCATTTGCAAATAAAGGATGATTAATGATGGGATGCCGGCCTCTGAAGATATCTTTCACAAGCATTCTCTAACAAAAGTTGATAGTACAAGAAGATGCAGGTGAGGTGGATCAACTGTGACTTGCAGAGCAGTCTTTTGTGTTGCAGTGGTAATATCCCTTCCACTGAGCCAGAAGAACTGGGTTCAAGTCAGACCTCTGAGCCAGAAGGTATGGGTTCAAGTCCCATCTACTCCTAGGTGGATAATCATATAATTGAGTAAGTTGATTAGAGAATTTACTGGTACAGCAAGGGCTTTTTAGTGCCATGAGAGTGTCCTTCATCTGAGCCAGGAGACCTAGTTCAAGTCCTACTTCTCTCGAGGCATGTAATAACACATCTAAGCAGGTTGATTTCAAAATAACTTGACTGGGAGAGCAAGCTCAAAAGGATGATTGGCCTAATCCTACTTAAGTTTCACTTACTATCTTCTGATACTGTGCATCGTTAAATTGCAACAATCAAGTAGTTACTCACTTTGAGGCACAATATTATTTTCACTCTCAACTATCTAATTCTTTATTACCAAAATGGTGAATTATCTGAACACATTCATTAAAAAAGTACAATGATACAAATAAAACCTGAGAGATGCATCATTTACAATCACTTCACCAGAGATGCCTAACAACATCTGTGATCAGGTTGATTAGAAAATATAAAAAAGGGTACAATGACTTCTTCATGTTCAAATCTCCCCCTTCTATGCTTTCTGTCCTATTACTAATTTTGTATCCATGCTGCTGCTGTTCTTTTACTGTCATCTTATAGCAATATATTCTTTTATTTAAATATTGAGCACTATGGTCTCAAGGCTGAATAAAATTTGAGTACCTTTACTAATGACTCAACTTCATTACTCATTTTCTTCAGTTCCAATATGTCACTGGCATCAGTTTGAGTGGCGCGATCTGTCTTAAAGAAGCCAACCTTCAAATAATTTGAGGGCCCAGAGCTGGAATGAAAAATTTAGAACATGTGACAGAAGTAATACTAAGATACTGCAACTTTGTCTCATCTGTTCATGGAATATGCAGATCACTGGTTAGACCAGTATTTATTGCTCATGTCTAATTGCCCTTGAAATGGTGGTGGTGAGTTGCCTTCTAGAATCACTATAGACTGAATGCTGTAGTGTAGGTGCACCCACAAAGCTGTTAGGGAAGCAGCAACAGAACATAGAACTCAAGGCAGTGAAGAAGTAGCAATGTAGTTGGAAGTCAGGATGGTATGTGGTTCAGAGAGGAATGTTCAAGTGATGTTGTTCCTATGTATCTGCTGCCCGTGTCCTTCAAAGTGGTACAGGTCATGGGTTTGGGAGAAGCTTCAAAGGAAGCTTGGCGAGTTCATGCAATACATCTTGTTGATGGCATACATTGCTGCCTCTGTGCATCAGTAATGACAGGAGTTAACATTGAAGGTGCTGGATGGGGTGGCAACCAATCAGGCTGCTTTCTCCGAATTGGTGTGAAACTTCTTGAGTGCTGTTAGAGTTGAACCCATCTAGACAAGTGAGGGATATTCCGTCATACTTGTGCCTTCTAAATGGTGAACAGGCTTCAGAAATCAGAAAGTTAGTTATTGCCGATAAATTCATAACATTTTACTATTCTTGTAGCCATTGTTTTTATATTGCTAGCCCAGTCAGTTTCTGGTAAATCAGGATATTGTTAGACAGGGACTCAACAATGGAAAAGGTGTTGAACATCAATGGGATATATTTGGATTCTCACTTGTAGGTGATGGTCATTGTCTGGCACTTGGGATGCAAATCCTACTTAGTAATAATCTGCTCAAACCTTGATGTTGTCAACGTTTGCTGCTTGTGACATGGGCTGTTTACTTATCTGAGTTGTTAATATTGCTGAACATTGTGCAATCATCAGCGAACGTCCTCTCTTCTGACCTTATAATGGAGGGAAGGTCATTGATGAAGCAGCTGAAGATGGCTGGGCCTAGGATACCACTTAGAGGAATTCCTGCAGTGTCGTCCTGGGACTGAGATAATCAACGTCCAACAAACACAACTTGTCCTCACGTATCACCCCACTAACCTCCGGATTCAATGCATCATTCTGCCACTTCCACCACCTGCAATCTGACCCCACAACCAAGGATATATTTCCCTCCACACCCCGATCTGCCTTCTATAAGGACCGCTCTCTCCACAACTCCCTTGTCCGCTCCACACTCCCCACTAGCCCCACCACGCCCAGCACCTTTCCCTGCAACCACAGAAAGTGCTACACCTGCCCCCTCACCTCCATCCAAGGACCCAAAAAAACATTCCACATCAGACAGATGTTCACCTGCACATCCGCTAATGTGGTCTACCGCTGCTGCCGATGTGGCCTCCTCTACATCGGCGAGACCAAGTGGAGGCTCAGAAATTGCTTTGTAGCGCACCTGCGCTCTGTTCATGACAAACAACAACACCTTCCAGTTGCAAACCATTTCAACTCCCGCTCCCACTCCCTGGACGACACGTCCATCTTGGGCCTCCTCCAGTGTCACAATGACGCCACTCGGAAACTGGAGGAGCAGCACCTCATATTCCACCTTAGGAATCTACAACCCAACAGTCTCAATGCGGACTTTACTAGTTTCAAAATCTCCCCAACCCCGGCCTCATCCCATGACCAACCCTCCCTCTCATCCCCACCTCCTTGACCTGACACAACCTGTCCGTCTTCTGTCCCACCTCACTGACTAATCCCCACCACTGCCTACCTGCACTCAACCTATCACCATCCCACCCCACTACCTTCCCAAGCCCCACGCCTCCTCTCTCTATTTATTTTAGAGCTCCCCCATTGCTGAAGAAGGGTCCTGACCTGAAATGCCAGCTTTCCTGCTCCTCTGATGCTGCCTGGCCTGCTGTGTTCCTCCAGCTCCACACTGTTATCTCTGACTTCAGCATCAGCTATTCTTACTATCTCTGTCTTCTCTTGTGCTTGTTATAGAATCATAGATCATAGAATCCCAACAGTGTGGAAACAGGCCCTTCAGTCCAACATGCCATACCGACCCTCAGAGAATCCCACCCAAACCTGTCCCCCTATAACCCACCTAATCTACACATCCCCCAATACTACAGGCAATTTAGCATGGCCAGTCCACCTAACCTGCACATCTTTGGATTGTGGGAGGAAACCAGAGCGCCTGGAGGAAACCCACGCAGACACGGGGAGAATGTGCAAACTCCACACAGACAGTCACCCAAGGGTGGAATCGAACCCAGGTCCCTGGTGCTGTAAGGCAGCAGTGCTAACCACTGAGCCACCGTGCCACCCCAGTTATGGCTCCAGCCAGTGGAGACTCTTCTTCTGATTCCCACTTACTTCAGTTTTGTTAGGGCTCCTTGGTATCATTCTCAGTCAAATGTTGCCTTGATATCGAGGTCAGTCACTTTTACCTCATCTCTGGAAGTCAGCTCTTTTATTCATGTTTGGACCAGGGCTGTCATGAGATCTGGTGCTGAGTTGTACCGATGGAACCAAACTGAGCATCAGTGAAAAGGTTATTACTGAATAAGTGCTGCTTGACAGCACTATTTGTAACCTTTCCATTATCTTGCCAATGATCATGAGTAGACTGATAGGGACATAATTGGTTGGATTTGCCATGCTTTTTTGTGTGCAGGACTTATTTTGGACAATTTTCCTCATTGTATGTAAATTCCAGTGTTGTCACAGTATGAAAGAGCTTGGCTAAGGCTACAGCTGATCCTGGAACACAAGATATCAGTACGATTGCCAGAAGAGTACCAGGGTTATAATGTTTGCAGAATCTGTTGGCTTTATTCATTTCTTGATATCATGTCAAGTAGTTCAAACAACTGTAAAACAGTTGTCACTCAATAACAGCACAGATAATGCTGTTAAACCAAATAAATCAATTACAACAAATCAATTGGCAGTTTTCTTGACATTATATAATTTATGGAATATGGAATCCTTTCAAAGAGAAAAAACACAATTAACTTATGTTGTTCAAATATGAGAGATGGAAGTTAGGAAATGGAGTAAGGAAAGAATAGTTTAGAAAATGAAAATTTACAATGCTAAATGCAGAGAGAAGCACACTGCACGTGATGCTGAAGGCTTTCTCAATTTAATCCCAAGCAAATTTGACCTATACTGATCAGATTTAATTCCAATAAATAAATTGATGCAATATGCCTTAATTGCAAAGATGTATGAAATGAACACTCAGTCAGGGTTCCCAGACTTTTTTTTCGGGTGGGGGCATTGGTTGGGGAGCAGAGAAAGTTGCATAAAATTACATTTTCTCACTCTATGAAGTGTTTCCATCCTCCTGCATTTTTCCAACGTAGCTCTGGCCCAGGCTAACCAATATATCCGTGATTAAAAGACAATTAAGGTTTATTATCAAGGCCATTAAACATTTTTGAAAGATTGTGAAATTTAGTCAGTGATATATGGAATCTTAAATAAAAACCAAAAGAACTGCAGATGCTGTAAATCAGGAACAAAAACAGAAGTCGCTAGAAAAGCTCAGCAGGTCTGGCAGCGTCTGTGATGAAAAAATCAGAGTTAACATTTCAGGTCCGGTGATCCTTCTCAATGGAATCTTGTCTTTTTTTAAACTCACTCATGAGAATGAGTGTCACTGGCTGCTGCCACCATTTATTACCCATCCCTAATTGCTATTGAGAAGGTCAGGTGAACTGCCTTCTTGAAATACTGCAGTTCATATTTTGTAGGTAGACCCACCATGCAGTTAGGCAACAAGTTCCAGGATTTTAATCAGTGACATTAAAACAATGGTGATATATTTCAAAGTCTCATAGTGAGTTGCTTGGAGGGGAACTTGCTTGTGGTGGTCTTCCTGTTTATTCATAGTCCTTGTCCTGCTCTATCATCAAGGTTCTAAGGAACCTTGGTGAATTTCAGCAGTGCATCTTGTAGGTAGTACACACTGCTGCTATTAAGTGTCAGTGGTGGAGGGAGTGGATGTTTATGGATGTGCTGCCAATCAAGTAGACTGCTTCATCCTGGATGGTGTCAAGGTTATTGAGTATTGCTGGAGCTACACTCATCCAAGTTAATGGGGAGTATTCCATCACGCTCCTGACTTGTGTCTTGTAGATGGTGGGCAGGTTCTGGAGAGTCAGAAGATGAGTTAATCACTACAGTTAATCTTAGCTTCTAAACTGCTCTCACAGACACCATCTTTATATGACTGGTCCAGTTCAAGATGTTGATAGTGGTGGATTCAGTGAAGCTACTGCCATTGAATGTCAAGGGACAATGGTTACATTCTTTCTTATTGGAGATGGTTATTGCCTGGCATCTTATGGCATGAATGTATTCAAGGAATCTTCTGACTCTACAACAGAGGAAATCTCATTGATAAAGCAGCTGGAAATGGTTGGGTCTAGGACAGTTACCTGAGGAACTGCTAGAGGCTTTTGTGTACAGTTATAGAGTCCCTACCTATGGACTAGAAAGTTGTTGTATGGACTAGAAAGCCTGGGTTTAAATTTCACTTGCTCCAGTTGTGTGTAATAACATCTCTGAACAGGTTGAATAGAAAATATTTAACCTGAGAAACTGCAGCTGAGATGACTGACCTCGAACAACAACAACAACAATCACCTTCCTTTAAGTCAGGCATGTTTCCAACCAGCAGAAAGTTTTCCACCTGATTCCCGCTGACTCCAGATTTGCTTCAACTCCTTGATTCTACAGTTGGTCAAATGAAGCCTTGAAGTCAGGAGCAGTCACTCACATTATTTCTGAATTCAGCTCTCTGTCCATGTTTGAACTAAGGTTGTAATGAGGTCAGGAAACTTAGTGGCCCGTATACAACCCAAACTGTCTGCAGGTCATCGAATCACATGAATGCCAAGAGATTCACATGCCTTGTCACTTTTAAAGAGCAGCATTGGCAAACACAGAACAAATGCTTTGAATTGTTTGTTTTTCACCTGCAGACGGAGCGACTAGACGGTGCTGGGCAAGTCGAACTAGCTGCTAATCAGCTGTATGTTTCCTTCTCCATCCATTTGATCAGCACACGACCTTCAGATTAATCTACTGGCCACCCTCCACTTCAGCTGCTCTAAATGTCCCGCCCACGATAGTCATGCCCCCACCTCCCCAGGCATCCCAATCTGTCAACCGTTGCAGAGGTAGCCTTTCAATTGTGCACCCCTGGGAATATCGCACCCAACGTCCTGCCACGTGCATGACCCGAAATCAGCCGGACTGCGGATATAATGGGAAAATTCAGTTTCTTGATCAATATTGAGTATCCCCCACCCATAGTACATATTGGGAGGTGCACAGTCAAGTGGGACTGACCATTTCTGTAATGTTCACTGCAACCTGCACTAGACTGCCATTGTATCTAGGAGCAATGGGCAGTTAAATTGTAATGTTCCAGAGTTTCCCCATTAAACCTCTTCCCACCATAAGGGCAACAAGCCCTTTAAACAGGGGGGTGGACAATCTGCCAATTGGCAAAAGGAAAAGAGAATAAAAAAGAACAAAAAAGTAGTACGGCATAGGAACAGGCCCTTCGGCCCTCCATGCCTGTGCCGATCATCATGACCTGACTAAAAAAAACAAACCTTCTGCCCTTGTTCGATCCGAATCCCTCTATTTCCTCCCTATTCATGGAACCATCCAGATGCCTGTTAAATGTCGGAAATGAAGGAACAAAGATCATTTTTTTTGCTAAAGGCTATAGCAAGTTTTTTTTTCCCGGTGGTACTGGCGGCAGGCCGTAATTTTGACAGTAGTTTACACAGAGTGACTGTTCAGAAGTGGAGAATCACGATTAACACAACTAGAAAACGCTCTGCAGAAGAGTCACCGGACCCGAAACGTCAACTCTGCTTTTTCTGCACCGATAGTGTCAGACCTGCTGAATTTTCCCAGCAATTTCTGTTTATGTTTAAAAACAGCACTCCCGTCCGCGAACAATAACAAATCAGAACTGCCTTTACCCAGAGAAACGGTTGGCTCCGGAAGAATAAGACAACAACAGGACTAAGTCCTGATCATTGCTGTGCACCGACTGCAGTGGAGTTGTGTCAGCCGCCATTTCTTAGCCGGCCGGCTCGATCGCTACGGAGGTCACTATGGTAACCGGCTGGAGCTACCGGAAGGACCCTTCACCCCACCAAGGAGCTGTCCTTGAATGTGCCTGAACGAGAAAACACAGGAGTCAAGTGCGCAGGCGCATTGAGCGTTGGCGGCTTGTTACCAGAGCGTCCGCAGTCCAAGGTGCTCGACGTGCGGGAAAGAAATATTGTCGGTGCTTACTGCGGATTTGGGCTGTATGCAGTACCCCACGTTACGTTTTAATGAGATCAGAGCGGTTGCCACAACAGACATATCAATCTACAAAACAGCGTACAACTGAAATACAAACTTCTAAAAGAAAATTTATGACCCAACTGGTTGCGACCCCAGGTGGCTGAATACCTCGAAATACTTTACATTTCATGTTCGCAGGTATTGTTTCCGAATCACATTCCAAAACGCAATCTGTCTTCAAAATAAAATCTCTCATTGATGTATGACATACAAAGAGATGTAGGTACATTAGGAGGACCAAAGTGTCAGAATTCCAACTTGTATTTTAGGTACAAAAACAAAATGCTCACAAAGTTCAGTTTTTGGGCTATTTGAAATAGGGAGTGAGCTCTGATGGTGCAACATATCAAAACTTGAAAGCACATTTTTGAAAGTATGACGAATTGTTACGAGAACTATAAATCAACAGCAAATAAAAACCGAAAGAACTGCGCATGTATAATTCAGAAACAAAAACACAAGTTGTTGGAAAAGCTCGAATCAGAGATAGTAGGAACTGCAGATGCTGGAGAATCCGAGACAACAAGGTGCAGGGCTGGAT